ATATGCTGACTCTGTAAACCTCTTAGAGAGGGCTGAAAGCCCTATGAAGCGGTATATAAGTCTAACTGCTATTGCTATTACTGGGTCAGTGAGTGGCGCTCTGCCCAGCTGGAAAGGGGCATTGCCGGGCGGCTGCTCATGAGCGTGGTCAACTCAAGGGCCACTCTCTTGAAGCTAGAAGTGGTTTTTTTGTAAAATTACAGCTGAGTCAAAGGATCTTAAACCAAATTCTGCTGTGAACTTTTCAAGGGAACTTTTTTATAAAGTGAAAATGGGAAAATGAAAAGGCAGCTTATTGATGGAAGATTGTAGAAAAATTACAGACTATTTAGAGGTTTAGAATCAAGAATCTCCCATAGAAACACAGCCCGCTCCAATCTTTAACATCCGTCCCCATTCTCACTTCTATATGAAAATGCAGACGGTATCTTTTGCCAAAGATCTCAAGATGCTATGCAAGGTCTTCTGAATGGCACCAGGGCAAATGAGGAAGTTTTGGGCTGCATTGCAGGTAGTCCTTGACTTATGACCCCAATTGAGCCCAACATTTCTGTTGCTAAGCAAGACATTTGTTAAGTGAAGTTTGCTCCATTTTATGACCTTTCTTATCACATTTGTTAAGTGAACCACTGAAGTTGTTAAATTAGTAACTCGGTTGTTAAGTGAATCTGGCTTCCGCATTGACTTTGCTTGTCATAGAGTTACAAAAGGAGATCACGGGGCCCTGGGACGCTGCGACCATCATAAATATGAACCAGTTGCCAAGCATCTGAATTTGATCATGTGACCATGAGGATACTGCAACAGTTGTAAGCGTGAAAAAGGCCATAAGTCACTTTTTCAGTGCTATTGTAACTTTGAATAGTCACTAAATGAACTGTTGTAACTTGAGGACTACCTGTATTGGACAAATAGGGGTTGCAAAGGCTCATTTGCAAGATACACTCAGAATGTTGCTGCAAAATAACCCTTGGAAAAGATCCAGAAGCTACAACACTTGCAGATTTGTGATTATGGATAGCAAAACTTGAGAAAGAAGACAGCTAGTATTTTACATGGCTTCTTTTAGGGGAAGAAAACTTAAGATAGCAAGAATAGTAGGGGTGAGTAAACAAAACCACAAAGTGATATGTTCACGGATACAATTACACCTTTACAGAGGAGAACACTTGCACAGTTCAGAATCTCAAATGAGAAGGCATTTGTAGAAATGAAAGTATGCTTAGCAAGCAGCAGCAACACCTTGCTAACTCATAAGCCAAACCTGGTTAGGATTTGGGAGGGGGAAACTAGGCCTGTTAGGTAGTGGGAAATTGAATGAAGAATAAACCTCAATTTATTTAATGCTATATATAAAGTCAGCTATGATTAGAGCATCATATAGGCCCAGGAAACAAAATAAAATGAGTTGATTGCACAGATGCCTTCATCAAGAATTGAGCTTAATTGCTGAATCTTTTTAACTTTCTAATCTATTATAGGAAATGTTGTGTAGGTAGCTAAGAAAGAGAGGCCACTTCTGAATAAAGCTAACTTAAACATAGGGACTTTCAAATCTCTTTGTTCTGGTGCTAGGTTTTGGTTTTGGGGTGATTGCTTCTCCTTTCATTTCAGGGAGAGGACATTTTGGATCGCAGCTCTGAGTTGATCTACACGGGAGAGATGTCATGGATATATCAGCCTTACGGACGAAGCCAGCAGCGGGTCTTCTTCCTCTTTGATCACCAGATGGTTCTTTGCAAAAAGGTAAGGACATTTTTGAGTCTCCTCCGGATGAACAGTGAATTTGGGTTTATGGTATGGAAAGTCAACCTGTATCCCTAAGTTGTACTGGGTCCTGCAACACCCATTTTGCAGCTGCCTTAACAGAACATCAGAATTGGAAGGGACCTTGGAGGTCTTCTAGTCCGACTCCATGCTCAAGCAGGAGACCCTATACTATTTTGAACAATTGGCTGTCCAATCTCTTCTTGAAAAGCTGCAGTAATCTTTGTTGCCCTTCTCTGCAAAATCTCAACATCTTTTCTCATATTGTGACAATATATAACATTGTGAGCCCCTGAAATGGTTCCGTCTCCCCAGGTGGAGCAGACAGGAAACATGACCAGCTGAGCTGATTCAAATTTATTGTAAGGCTACATTAACAGAATCTTGAAAGTCTGAAAGTATAAATCTTCCCCGTCTGTTTTACAGCCTGAGAAGTGACTGAGGTTTCTTTCTGAGTTGCTTTCTTTGCCTGTTATGCAGCTCTGGGCCATGGCCTTGTCTCCTACCATCATTCTCACATACTATTACAAATGGTCCTTGCCAAAATAGACAATCCCTTGGAGGCTAATTTCCCTTCTTGGAATTAGTGGGGTGATGTTGTGGGGCCTTATACCACCTGCTATGATCTTGGGTTTTTTAAAAAACATGTTTTCCTTCTCCCAAAAGATGGTCATGGTCGCCCATCTTAGATCAAAGAGCAGCCTTCCTTCTTGTTATTGCTCAGTTGCTAAATCGTTTCCAACTCTTCATAACCTCATGGACTGTTGCATGCCAGCCCCCCCTGACCTCCACTGTCTCCTAGGGTTATTGGACACCTTCTGACTTGATGGGTCACCTTCCAGCATCATGTCTTTTAGCCTTTTGGTACTGGTCATGGGGTTTTCTTGGCAAGGATGCTGGAGTGGGTTGCCATTTCTTTCTCCAGAGGATTACATTTTGTGAGAACTCTCCACTAGGACCTGTCCATCTTGGGTGACCCTGCACAGCATAGCTCATAGCTTCTTTGAGATGTGCACGCCCCTTCAGCCACAGCAAGGCAGGAACCATGAACGTGTCCAGTCTTCTTTTCAGAGATAGGTTTGAAGCACACATTCATTGTAAGTGATAAAGGAAAGTACGCCACTGCACATTGGCTACTTATTCTCATAAGCCACTTTCTCCAGCAAAAAAAAAAGGAAGGAAGGGAGAGATGGAATGCATGAGTGTCAAATACAAGCTAAAATGTTCAACAGTTAGGAAACTTTTGTTTGTTTTAAAATTTTAGCAGGTAGATAACACTGTCTTCTCTCTCCATTGCTCTGTCACTGCATGATTGTATGTCATGCAATGACATGTCCTGAAATATATGTCTTGCAAAAGGTATAGAGAGAGCATTTGGAAATTTACAGTAAAAAGTTGCAATAGTAGTATTGGGAAATGTACAGTAAAAATTATCATCAAGAGAAATTGTACTCAAAAGCGAGAAGATAGACTATTTTTTAAAAGAAAAACCCTCAGATCCTCAGTAGTTAAGAATATCTTTTCAACTTTGCCGTTGAAAGTGCCTCAATTTATGTTGATTTGTCCAGTGTTAGATTTATTTCCAGGGAAATTATTATAAATATGTAGCTTAAAAGATTCCTTAAAAGGAAGAAGGGGGAGTAGATGAGCTAGTCCTGAAATCAGTCTCCCCCATTAGTAATTTTCCATTGCACTTAAGTTTTTTCTTGAAGGGCTTTCAAATTTGTATAGATGAAATTAAATCTAGGTGATTCATTTCTGGATTTGTTCTTTAGCAGTGGAGGAAGGAACTGTGATTTCATTGGCAGAGGGTCATATGAGGATACATTAAGTCTATCCCTCACCTCATCAGGTAATCCAAATGAGGCCAAAAGAAATAATGCCTTTTGTGGATCAGCTTTGAATCCCTCTGTTCTCTGTTGATTTCATCTTTGAGGCTAAAGCTAATTAATCAGAATAGAGCTGGAAGGGACCTTGGAGGTCTTCTAGTCCAACTCCCTGCTCAAGCAGGACCCTGTACCATTTCAGACAAATGGCTTTCCAGTCTCTTCTTTAAAACCTCCAGTGATGGAGCACCCACAACTTCCGGAGGGAAGCCCTTCCACTGGTTAATTGTTCTTTCTGTCAGGAAGCTTGTGCTTAGTTCTAGATTGCTTCTCTCCTTGATTAGTTTCCATCCATTACTTTTTGTTCTCCTTTCAGATGCTTTGGAGAATAGGCTGACCCCCTCTTCTCTGTGGCAGCCCCTCAAATACTGGAAGATTGCTCTCATGTCACCCCTAGTCCTTCTGTTCTCAAGACTAGCCAAACTCAATTTCTGCAGCCGTTCTTCATATGCTTTAGTCTCCAGGCCTTTACTCTGCACTTTTTCCAAAGTCTCAAAATCTTTTTTGTAATGTGGCAAATAAGATCCTGTGTCATATATCAGAAGCTGAGTATCTTGGCCTGAGTGGGTAGTTCTGTTTACAAAGCCAATGGGGATCCTTTCTGTTTATTCAGTTAACTCTGATGTTAATTGCCTTGGGATTCACTCTGTCTCTAGTTCAATTCCCATATCTAAGTAAAATTGTATTCAAATGACTCATTCACCCAGTTGTATGTGCTGTCTGTGTGACACAAAGAGAAATAGTCGTCAACTTACAACAGTTCATTTAGTGACCGTTCGAAGCGACAACGGCACTGAAAAATGGCATGTGACCACTTTTCACTCTTACGACTATTGCAGCATCTCCATGGTCACGTGATCAAAATTCAGACACTTGGTGACTGACTCATATTTATGACGCTCGCAGTGTTGCAAGATTCAGTTATCCTCTTTTGCGACCTTCTGACAAGCAAAGTCAACATGGAAGCCAGATTTGCTTAATAACCATATTACCAACTTTTAAGAGTTGCCATGATTCATTTAACAACAGTGAGAAGTCAGGTTGGAAAATGGGGCCAAAATCATTTAACAAATGTCTCACTTATGAACATAAATTTTGGGCTCAATTGTGGCCGTAAGCCAAGGACTATTTGTTGCAAGCCATTGTAATAGCAGCTTGTGTGATTTTAATAGATGTGACATTTTTACTGGTTTATCAGTAGAAAAAAAATCCCTTTTGGCTAGATATTTGATTTTTAGCATTCCAAAATGCTAAAGCGGGGGCTTTTGAATCCAGCCACTTCCCCAGTGTTTTGCATCTAAATCTCCACATGGCATCATGCAGTTAGTCTTGGGCTTTTCATTCCTGAAATGTATTTACATTTTTTGCCTTTTCTCCATTTCAACATTCAAAGGAGCATCGATAAAACATAATAAAATCAGGCTTGGTAAAATCTATTTTATGTAGTGTTGCTATGAAACTCTAGAGCTGGGTCCATACATCAATATGATTGCAGCTTAAAGGGGAATAAAGATGCAGAGGAAATGCAGATTGTGACAAATTGCACAGGTTGAAATTTTAGAATTCATTAAAGATATCCTCTTGTTTAGACCAACAGCAGGTTGTGTGGTAGAGTGAACCTATAGCTAAAATAAAGACAAGGGTGATGTAGAAACATCTGTCCCTATTTCAGTTTTTAACTTAGCTGTTATGTAGGTCAGGTGTTGTACTATGATACCTTGACATAATAATATCACAGATCAGCATTAATCAGAGCCTGAGAATCAAATGATCCCATAAAGCAGTGGTAGGTTTGAAAGATTATGAGAGAAAACAAGAAACCCAAGGCCCAGTTTGAAACAGCGTTTAAAGACACCAGGCTAAAAACTGGGAGACCAGGAATTCTAGTCCCGTCTAGAGGACTAGAAGGAGGTCATGGCTAAGTAATTTTGCCAAGAAAATTGCAGGGACTAATCCAGGCAGTTGCCAGAAGTCATGAATGATTTGAAGAGGGAGGGAAGGAAGGAAGGTCAACAGAGGAAAAGAATTTATTACTACCTTATCTCATAAATGGAAGCTCAGGCTGAGCTGCAGAAAGGTCAAGAAGAGGGCATGTGAGGTGTTCAAAGAAATCCCATCTCAGAGAGCTGAGGTTCCTATTGAAATTGCCAAGGTTCCTTATTGTTGAATTCAAACCCCCGCTTGACGTCTAAGTGGCTCTCGCTTCTTTCATCATTTCTTGCCATACTGAGCTTGGCAAAAGTCAGTTAGCAATAGCAATAGCAATAGCAGTTAGACTTATATACCGCTTCATAGGGCTTTCAGCCCTCTCTAAGCGGTTTACAGAGTCAGCATATTGCCCCCAACAACAATCCGGGTCCTCATTTTACCCACCTCGGAAGGATGGAAGGCTGAGTCAACCCTGAGCCGGTGAGATTTGAACAGCCGAACTGTAGAACTACAGTCAGCTGAAGTAGCCTGCAGTGCTGCATTTAACCACTGTGCCACCTTGGCTCTGTAAGTGCATCACATTGCTTGACAGCTTGCATTAATGCCAAGAAGTTGAAGACCAGACAATAGAGCAGATTTTGTCTCTCAAAATGGTTTTGGAAAAGGACCATAAGGCTCCCATCTGATTGAGAGGGGGTGTCAGGACTAAAAGAGGCCCACAGTTGTTCCATAGCTGCTCCTGACTTATTTGAGAAAGAAAGGGAAGCTGCATTAATCTGTGAATGTGGTTCTCCGTAGCACCTGTGATCAGTCAGAGAAGAAAATTTAGGTCTCCCAGTTGCCTTCAGGGCCATGCTTTCTGGGTGAGTTTGCAATTTCTAGAAGTTGGGATAAAAAAGGGAGAAGACTGTGGAGTCTCTCATCACTTTTGAAAAGGAGAAAAGGGCAGCTGAAAAAAAGCTTTACTGCTCTTTTCTCCTTACTCCTTAGCTCCTTTTCAGCAGACTTCTTCATGGGAAATTAAAGGGCTTTCTTGTCTGTGTTGTTCAGAAGGAGAAATTGGCACCTTTGTGAGTCTTCCCACCAGTGAATTCCTCCCCAGAATTCTGCAAGGAGGAGGAAACATCTTTAAAAAAAAACACCCCTTGAAGCCTTTACACAGTG